ACCTTGCCCATTTTCGGAGGTTTAGGAGTTGGGGTCTTAAGGTTGGGTTTTTGGAAGGGTTTAAGGGTTGAGGCGTTGAGGGAGTGAGAGTTTGAGAGAGGGCTTTTTTTTGGATAAGGGTGTGTGGAGGCGGTTTGGTGTTAAGGTTGGGGTCTTAAGGTGGTTTTTTTGAAGGGGTTTAAGGGTTGGAGGGTGGAGAGGTGAGGGTTGAGAGAGGGTTTTTTATTGGATAAGGGTGTATGAGGGCGGTTTTGGGGCGAAATTGGAGGGTTAAATTGGTATGTAGTTATGGAATGGGGTTTGAACCATAGGGGGGGGTCTAGCGGTTGAAAATGGGCAAGGTCATTGCTAACTATGCAACCTGTAAGGCTTCAGGCTCGCACTCTGAAGCACTGAACCTTTGCTACAATGATACACTTTGGCTTCAGACCTAATTATAGCAAATCTGGAACCGCAATTCCTGCCTCGATTGTTTGTCCCAGGCGAGGCGGCCCAGCCGGATCCTCGGTGTGCCCATGGCTTTAGGGGTGCTGAAGTCCTTGTTGTGGGACATGCTGCTCTCGGCTTGCACTTGACAACTTGAGATGGCGCCCAGCATGCGTGGTTGAATCGTACGACTTGAGAAGTTGGCTCCTGAAGGGAAGAAATGCCGCTGCGCTCTTCCACGCATATTTCCGTCGTCCTGTCTCTGCCGGTGCACGAAACCCCCAAACCCCTGTAAAATCCTTGGAAGACTAATGCTGCTTTTCTCGACTGATCCTTGATATTAACCATGTTGGTGTTTACAAGGACAGGCTTCAAGTCATGACAGGGTTGACAGGCTCGAGGATGAGAAGGCGGCACTTGTTCCCCAAGCTTGTTGATGACGGAAGCGTGGGTTCATGCGCGGGGTGGGGAGGTGGGGGGGGGGGTTGAAGTCTCCCGCATGATTCGCATGTAGTTTCAATAGCAAGGGCAGAGTCGGGGGGTCTTGTGTGTCTCTGCGAAGTCATGCGAAGCTTGATGATCCGGTATGTGTACTTCTGCCATCAGCTTCTCAAGTTTGGGGATGTTTGCAAGCCCATGTCCAACGACGCTGCATCCGTGCCCGCCTGCAGAGTGGCCGTAACATCGACGAACCCTGACAAGCTTGCAGCCATCGAGTCTGCGTTTTGCAGCGGCTTCGTTGTCAACAGTTGTCACAGGGGCTTCTTGCTTTTGCGGAGTGGGTGGAGTTTCTGCGGTAGTATCAAACACAATAATTACGATTTGCAGTGACATGCATCTCGCCAAAGTCGAGGTCACTTTGGGCAGAAGGGGCAGGCAGCGTCAATCTGTGTACTGCCATGCCCGGCGGACAGTGGCATTCCGCATGGCCAGCCTTGGGGCATGCAGCACACGCGCCTTTGTTTGCATCCCAAACTTCGGGTTGCCTTTCGTTTGCAGAGCAGGCCTCCGCCCTACAGTAAACAGCCGAGCCCCTGGGATGAAAGCTTTGATCACTTCATGGTTTTCGTTTCAGTTCAGTGCTGCCGAGTTCTATGTAACTTCAGTGAAAACTCCAGTCGGCCCCGCAGCTTCGGCCACATGGGAGCTTCAGAAAGTGAGGGGACATTTTTCTTTGTCACTTATATGTAAAGGTATACACACAAAAGTATACTACAAATAAGTGTGTATATATATATGTAAGAGAAACCT